CAACTCAACAAAGCTTCCAGAGTGTCATTGAAAGCTCCCCAGGCTCCAGGTTCCCCATAAGAAAGACTTGTGCATCATCATCTCAGAGTCCTCTGAGTGGGGAATTTGGGAGTGGCTTAGCTGCAAAAGTCAGAGTCAGGTTCTTGAGTCAGGATGTGGGCCTTGGCAGCCATCATGGAAGTGGCTTCAAGAATGGCTCACTCATGGAGGGCGGCTTCCAGGACGGCTCACTCCTGTGGCTTTTGGCAGGAGCCTCAGTGCTAAGCACACAGGTCTCCATAGGATGCTTGAATGGGGGCCCACTGCCCCAGAGCCAGTGATCTGAGAGACAGCAGGAAGCCTCCACACCACTCGCGACCTGGTCACACACTTCACCTCAGCCATAGCTGGTCTCAGAGAGAGTCACTGATTCCAGCGCAGGCAAGGGGAGGGAGTCAGGCTCACTTTTAGGAGGGAGGGGTGTCGAAGACTCTGGAACTTTCTAAAGCCCTCGCATGTCACAAAGTGCCCCTCAATTCAACAGGGATTTATTACTAGGGATGTTTCTTTAGCTCCCTTTAAGTGTTTTCTGTCCAGACAACCATTTTTCTCTCTTTACCCATCACAGTTCATTGTAAAGGTGCCCACAGTTAAGTGGGATATTCCATGAATCAAAAATGCAGTGACACAAGTAATAGGCCAGGGTCCTCAGTGTTATATCAAGACCCAACTCCAACTGAATTTTGAAAGTATGATACCCTGGAAGATGTTGCTATTATTACCATGAAACAGACCTCCACGTGCAGAACAATCTGAGGAAAAGGGTTATTTATTTATACATTTATTTAGATAATATTGACATATAACATTGTATTAGTTTCAGGTGCAAAACGCATTGATTCAACATTCGTATATATTATGAACTGATCACAAAACAAGTCTTACTTACATCATCTGATTTTATAACTTTTCTTATCCTACAAATCCTAGTGCAATGAGAGTAATTATGTTAATAAGAAAACATTATTCATCAATGAAATAGTTTGTCTCTCATTTGATATTTTATTAAGGCAAAACATTATTCACACTGTTTTTTTGCTTGTTTTTGTTGTCAGTTAAACCTTGTGATTTTCCAGAAATAAAACATGGCAGCCTATATAATGAAGATGGATATAAATCATACTTTCCAGCAGCTTTAGAAGACTGGTTTTACTATTCCTGTAATGAGAACTATGTGACTCGTTCAGGAAGCTACTGGGATTACATTACTTGCACACGACACGGATGGACACCAGCAGTACAGTGCCGCAGTACGTACTCCTCTTTGTAATATGTGTGTGGAAATATGTCTAAGAGTGGAGAGAGGAAAGCACACAGCAGAGCACAGGTAAGCCTCATGTGATGAAAATAAGGTCAAGGGCTGAGCTTCATGAACCAAGAACCAACACAGGTTCTGCTTTTATTCAGAGTGCTTCATTAATATAGCATAAGAGGTAAAAATAGAGACGTTACGAATTACCTGTTTCATTTACACACATTATGATTATGAAAACTACAGATAAATGATTTTGAATGTTGATTTTCTTTTTTTAAGAATCATCGTGTAGTAGTTTAGTTTTTCTTAAGCTATCTGTTATATTTAGATGGTTTTGCATTCTAATTTGAATGCTGTAAAGATAATTTATAATTTACTATCTTGAGCCAATTTATGAGTTTTCCATTTATGATTTTGTAATTCATAGGAAAATGTGTCTTCAATAATTTGGAAAATGGTGTTGCTCCAGAAAATAAAAAAGAATATTTACAGGGTGAATCTCTAAGAATTGACTGCCATCCTGGTTACAGTCTTCCCAATCAGCAGACCTCAGTGATATGTACGGAGGATGGCTGGTTTCCTGCTCCTGTATGCCATGTCAGTAAGTAAACTCGTCTGAGATCCCAGGATGTCTGTGATATTCTAATACTCGCCCATAATAATTGGCAGAATGTTCATGTCAGCTTCTTGTTCTGCCAGGACACCTGTTTGGTTTTATTCTTTCCAAGTGTGTGTGAGTGGATACACTGAACTCAGGACGCATGTACTGAAAAATAAATGAACCTACTGATAGACCTTAGTAAAAAAAACAGCACAAGAATGACAAACTGGGACTCTGTACTAATAACGTGACATTAGCCTGTGGCTCAGTCACAGTTTCTACTGTCCTCGGCACAAAGAGCACTGATATTTGACAGTCCCCAGGGACACAGCATCCCTGTGGGAGTCCAGGAATCTAGCAGAGAAGTTTCAGCAGCATCACAGTAAAACTGTCCAAGAGCAGAGGCCATGAAGAAGCGAGAGGGACAGTGCCACCACCTGAGTTACCCTCTCCTCAGTGCACATATTGGGGACTTGGGGTTGGAGACCACGAGGATTGCTGCTTTCATATTGTTTTGGAAGGCTAAATGGGTTACAGGTCAACTTGACCCCTTCAAGGCGATTCTCTAAACTCCCCTATGGCTGGTTTGGGAGCCTTTACTCCAGGACTAGTTTACTTAGAACGCTGTGAGTGAGGCCTCTGCCGGTCTCTCCACTAAGGATTGGTGTTAAAAGAGGTGGATCCACTTTGATCAAATCTGAATGTTTCCCAGGGTTGTGTGTTCTCTGGAAATCTTTGAATTTATGGGGTTCCTCCTCTGGCAGTTATCTGTTACCCATTCTCATGGGGTTTTGCCCTACACAATAGTGTGATATACTCAGGCAAAGAATCTAGTCATTTCTGTGCAGTTCTGTTGAGTTCTGTGTTTCATTCCATAGTGTCCTCCTCGGGTTCTAGTGATGTCCACGACTGTGAGGTCACTGACTTTGGTGTATTTTGTTCAGTATGATTGACATACCCTGGTATGAAAGGGTTTTGTCTTTCGGTGTGTAGTCTGGAAACTCCCCCACAAATAAAGGCACATTGCGGACAGAGCTCACATTTGCCTCTCTCCGTCCAGAATTTTTGTTAGGCCCTGAGTGTTTCCTCTGCCTCACTAGGTTATTTTCACATATTTAGTTCAGTGTCCTCATTGTTTATGGCTGGAACTTTCTGTTTCTCGACTCTTCTTGCCTGATATTTATCCATTTGGGAAATTTCTTAGTCAACCACCTTTTAACTGTGTACATTTCCTCTAGTGTTTGTTTCTATTTCAGTTCTCATATTTTTCTTTTTTGAAATTTTATTCTTTCAATTTTAATGGGGCATGTTTGACAAATAGAGATAGCATATATTTAAGGTATACAGCTTGCTATTTTCATATATGTATGTTGTGAAATGGTCACCACAATCAAGCTAATCACCATGCCTATCACCTCACATAGTTAACCTTTTCCTTTCCTTGTGGTGAGAACACATAAATTAAAGCATAACTTAGGAAAGAACCCATTGTAAGGAAAGCTCTGGCAAGCTGGAGGATTCCAGATCCATTAGACACAAAGATGCCTTGTGTTTCTTACGAGGGTTTCTGAGTATTTTAAATATTGCTTTGCTCCAAAAAATTTTTAATAAAGTATCTTGATTTAATATCTTTAGAAACTCCTAGCTTATCTTCTCTGACACACATTCTTCGGTGATTAGGTTTTTCCAGGTTTTTATTTACAAATGACTCCTCATTTTTTATATTATGTTGTTTGAGTCCTTATGAAAATGTTTATTGAATACAAGTTTATGTTTTCCTTATGCTCTCTTTGTTTTAGAAATGTATTCAAAATCAGAAATACAAATTCTAAATGGATTTGTTTCTGAATCTGAGCCTACATATCCCTTATACAAACAAGTACAATATAAGTGCAAACAAGTACACGTGACACAGATGGTGAAACCACAGGGTCGATTACATGTCAGCAACATGGATGGTTCACTCAGCCCATGTGCATTAGTAAATCATTAACAATGTTGGTGTTTATTAAAATCTTGGTGACTACTGTACAAAAATTTCCTTGATCTAAATTTTTTGAAGGACAGGGAGAGGGCTGAGGTGGTTCCATTTGAGGAGCTACAGAATGTTGAGACAGTGTATATATGTTTTTTCCCTGTTAAGGTTAATTGCTAGTAGGATAGAAAGTCAGTCCATCTTTCAGTTTAAGCTCTTTCCACTGTATCCTGTGACTTAGAAACTAGTTAGGAGCCTTTTGTGGCTTCCGGTGTAAACTTAATTATTTTTAGCTGAGACCTTTTGCCTGCTGTCCCTGTTTTTACGTGATCGGACTTTTATATCAGAGTATTTATGCCTAGACACAAAAGTTATGTTTTGGAGGGAAGGTATGGGTTCACAGGGCCTCATGCAGGAATAATGTCACCTGTGTAATTGATATGCAGGAATAATGTCACCCGTGCAATTCATATGTTTGATACTGAAGGCTGGGTGCTCTCTGGAAACTCATTTCCTCTAGAAAACCTACAGACACCCCGTTAGCGGGACAGAGAAGCGCTTCCAGACAGAGCCGATCGCGCTGTGCTGAACGAGGTTCCCGTCTCACAGATTCAAATTGTTGGACCAGACGCATCTCAGTGCTACCTCTTTGGATGGTCCCCTCATCCTCCAACATGGAAAAGTGAATATTTATCTGACAGTTGCTGAAACAAGTACTAGAATTGTGGTTCTCACATTGTTTTTCTCTCTTAGTTTCCTGTTGGCTTCCAGAGTGTCTATAATCTAGTGCATTACACCAGAGATGTACATGAGAACATGTGTTGGGTAGTAGAGAACTCTGATTCTCTCACTTAAGAATTAATCTTCCATTGTTTTTTGAAATCTGTATTGAAAGTAACATAGATACACATGTTGTGTGTGACAGTGGACAGACTGCTTTCATTATTTTTTTTTTACGGTATATAACTCTTCAGCACAAAATAGCACCAACTGTCAGAGCACTTTAAAGTGGTGCTTAATTTATATACAGACTTATGCTAAAGTGTATTATTCCCAGAATCAGGTTGTTTTCGTTGTATCACACATGATATGGCTTTAGCAGTACAATTCTCACTTTCATTTTCCTTTAGAATACTGTGGTATGCCGGTGTTCGCGAATGCCACAGCTGTCATTACTGGCTCACGGTTAGTAATCAATGACACATTAGACTATAAATGCTTGGATGGATATGAAAACCGAGATGGAAACAAAATAGGGTCCATGGTATGTGATGAGGACGGCTGGACCCACTTGCCTACATGCTACAGTAAGTATGTTTCTTCTGTCACTTCCTTGGTCAAGAGTTGAAAAGCACATATGTATGTCGTCCTGGTTGGAGTGTGCTTTATCTGGGACATTTTTAAGACCCAAGATTTAAAATGCAAGATAGGGTTCCGCTATGAAGCTTTATTTAGATAGTTTCCCATAAAAGTATTGAGTTTTTCCTCAATGCATAAAATGCTGTTTTTCAGAATCTACAGAAAAGTGTGAACGTCCTCCATCCATTAGCAATGGAGACATCACCTCCTTCCCATTTGCAGTGTATCTTCCGGGCTCAAGAGTTAAATATCAATGCCAAGCCTACTACGAACTCCAGGGTTCTAAATACGTAACATGTAATGAAGGAAAGTGGTCAGAACCACCAAGGTGTATAGGTAAGCTCTTCATATTCTTCTGCACCCTGAGAAAACAATCTTTGCTACGTGCCCATGTCATCTCCAGTTGTTGTGGATTCACTCCAGAAGTCTGTTCACCCACTGCTATTCTGCTGAATGCTTGACATTCAAACATGATGTGCAAGGTGATAAGCTTGGGAAATTCCTGTGTGGACAAGGGCAGTTTCCTTAAAACAGGAGCGTTCACATACTCAATGCTGATATATTAGCTGCCTCCACTGTGGACCAAACCTTAATCCTTATCTCCCACTTATGTGGCCCTTTCTATATGAGATCCAGGGAAAACCTGGGCTCCAAATCCTGGAAGTGACAGGACCAGAGAGCAAAGTAATACACCCAAGTCAGAATAGTCCAGAAATAGCCCCAAGCTAGATTTCATAGGAAAAATATATGTTACATTTCAAAGGTAACTTCTACATCTCAAGTTATATTGAGGAGATGGTGAAGTTTAAGATTGTGTGAAGCACAAGCGTTACCTTTTCTGAGCTTTAAGAATATGAATCGATTATCATTATTGAGGACATAAAATCAGTTCTACCACAGAGTAAGACTTTAGTCTCTGAGTTGAAAAAAGCATTGAGCATTCAGGAAGGTAAATTTGTGCTTGCACTAGTAAACTTGAGAGAGAAAGTTCTGGAACATATGTTTTTAGAGAGGTCTCTAGAGCTCACATGATACATATTTTTGGATACAAACAAAATTTGAAGGACTGAGAATCTCTTGAAAACAGACATACACACACACATATATAATATATATATATATAAAGCCTCATCAGGTAAGAGTAAACAGGATGTATTAGAACATAATTTTGAGCCATTTCTAAGGCCTACCAATGTTACTGAGGACCAGACTAGAATGTAAAACACTTCGGTCAAGAGAAGAGTAAGAGGAGTCAAATTCAAAATTTTTAGCATGGAAGAATTTCTACAATGCTATAGTAGCTTGTCTATACAAAATAAGCAAGGCCTTAAACAGTATTATAATATATGAAATGTTGTTTACAGTTGCATTATAATAGCAGTAAACTAGAAGTTCCCTCTTGTCTTTAAAAAATAATAAAGCTTCTAAACAAGGTAATATTTATACTGAATTTACAGTAGAGGACAGTGAGATAGTGAGATAGAGGAATTTGTTAATAATCAAGCTGGCATTCAAAACCCCACTCTGTGTGTATGTATGTGAATGACCTATGCAGCCTTTTCTTCCATAGAGAATAAAGGTGATAGATGATAGCTAGGTAGGTAGGTGCGTAGGTAGGTAGGGAGATAAGCAGATAGATGATAGATAGATAGATAGATAGATAGATAGATAGATAGATAGATAGATAATACATAGATAATACATAGATGGATATATATGTTATAGACAGTTGCGTTTTCATTGAACGCTGTTTATTAGAAATACCTGGTTTTCTGTCGTTCTCCTTCCACGCTGTGGGCCTAAGAGGAAAATATAAACATAGATTTACACTAGCAGAATGTGAATAAATGTGGACTGTTTGTAGTCACTGCTGGTTGAACAGGAAATGGAGAATGGAAAACCATGACACAGTAGAACATGTTCGCGTGTCTCTTCTTGATCTGAAGTCACTGGTTGCTTGTTTATGTCGGAGATGAAAAGGGAGACGCTAGGGTCACGTTCATCATCCCCACCTAATAAGCTCCGTGACCTTGGAAAGGTGTTACTGAACTTCCCTTCACCTCAGCGTCCTGGCGTGTGAACTGTAATGGAAGGAGCTGTACGATTTCACAGAGCTTGTACTTGAAAATTGCGAACAAGAGCTCTGCGCACAATTAATGTCTAGTAGCTATTTAGCTTATTTCATAATCTCATTTTATTCTAAAGTATTCATTAGGTTGAAGTTTTCTTAGTCCTGAAAAGGGAAGATTATTGTTTTTATTTATGTTTGTCTTTCAGATCCATGTGTAATATCTGAACAAAACATGAATAGAAATAACATACAATTAAAAGGGAAAGATGACACAACGTACTATGTAAAAACCGGGGATCTCATTGAATTTGTGTGTAAATCGGGACACACTGCAGCTACATCACAGCAATCGTTTCAAGTAGTGTGTGGAGAAGGGACACTGGAGTACCCCAGATGTGAATAAAGAAGCAGTTACCCCACATATCCGGCCTCTTCCATCTACTGCGCTTACTGTCTGAGCTGCTAAGAAAGCTTCTGATAGCATGCTGCTATGTCCTACTTTACTTCAAAGAAAATACAAATAATACGGTAGTCTCAATTTTCAACTTATCTTCCCACAAATGTGTCAAAAAAAACTATACCATCCCTTACACTTGTACTAAGATGATAGTTATTTTCCAGTCCCAGGTATTAGACTACTTACCAATATATTAATAAACACACAAATATGCTAATTATGTGCTTTCTGCATATTTAACAAAGTGTGTAAACATTCAAACAAAATAAGTGAGCCTAGATTTATTGGGGGAAATGATTCAATCATAAAATTAGATATTAAAATAGAAAGTGAAAACAATAGCATTACAAATTTTCTGGATGAATCTCTGGATGAAGAAATGACATTGTGAGGAATAAAGGGAAGTTTCATTCTTTATCTTATTTCCCCTTGTAGTTTGAACTGGCTTACAACATCGAAGAGTTTCTCTTCCATTTGACAACAATAGTAAATCATGTTAAAAGTGTAAATCTTAAAATGTCCGGTCATAGAAAAATTTACTTGATGCTAAGTAAATATAGCAACTGAGTGTTTATTTTCTCATATGTTATTTAGAAAGCATATAAAACTCAATTAAAATCCCTGTCAAACTGAAACGTCATCAAATAACTACTCTCTCATTCATACTTGAGAAGAAGTCTATCAGGCTAACTACCTCTCAGTTTGGGTTAGACTTTCTGTATATTTCTCATTTGCTCCATTTTTCCTCCAAAAGAATCATGCTGACTGTCCATGAATTCCGTTTTAATGTGTAATGTTCTCCAGTGTTTTCATCTTTCTCTTTTATGAAGAAATAGATATCTATGAATTCTGCACTTGCTATTGAAAATTAAAGTGTCTCCCACAGACCCGGCAGCGCCTTCCCTTCTAATCTTCGGATTAGCCAGTTAGTGATTCATCTTAGTTAACGTCCCTGTACCAACAGGACGGCCTGTCATTTGAGCAAACTTTGCTTTCACCTCCAACGCAATGACAGTGCTCTCACAACGTAAAGTTCTCTGAAAACACAGTGGCGGCTATCTAACCTTCTCCTCAACACCTCACACATGTGATGGAAGTGATAATGCAATGAAACAGCTCACACTTCGCCAGATTGCCCAGGTGGACGTGCTTCTGCGTCAAGCAATCTTCACATCTGCTGTCGTCTCATTCACCCTTTCCATGACTTTCTCAAACTTTCTCTGCTCTCCTCAGTCCTTGACCTTCTCTTCCTATTGTCCTTCCACATTCTGAGCAGGTGATGTCCCCTCCTGGACAAGGAAATAAGAGCCATATGACATGAACCACCTCATTCCAGCCACAGGAGCAGCCCGTCTCCCAGACGAGAGGCACCTTCCGCTTGTGCCTGGGCGGCCACCTGTTCTCAACTTTCAAGGAACCCTCTGCAATCATTGTACAATATCTTCCCCACATCCCCCTCCTGTCTTTCTTTACGGACTCATGCCCATTTAACTTGAACATGCTCAATTTCACCCTTTTTATGCAAAAGATCTCCTTTATTCTTCTCTCCCTGTCTTTTAAAAAATTACTATAGCATCTCATTTCAACCAGTGACTTCCCAAAAGTCTCTCCTACATTTAATAAAGTAAATCCTCTATATAATATAGACTTCTTATTCCTAATGTGTTTGTTATTTTACA